GAAACACAAAAGGTTTCTCATCGCTCACGTCGACCATGTTCGCTCGAAAAATGTCTAAAATCTGCCCTGTGCCATTGACCTTTGACCTGTGACCTCCAATTTCGGCACAGTGATGGCTTTTCCTACCATGATGCGTATAACACCGACTATACGAGCCTAGGTCGAGCCGTTTAGATTTTGTCGCCGCAATTCTGGCATTTCCTCCCTATACCTTAAGTTTAAGGTAGAGGAAATGTTCCCTCTTCTTTACAACCTCTTGACACTTGTAACCTTACCCCCTAGCTTCGGACACTCCAACTCGTCTTTCGCAATCTGTCTCAGCATCGCACCACCACTTACATTGTGTCCCTAGACTCCCTCAGTCTCCCGAGACTCCTGCAACCGATTGCCTCATCAGTCCGTCCAGTCGGAGAACTGCCATCTGAAGCGACGATGTCTGACGAGGAAGAACTCTGTCGCCAAAGCTCACACTTCACAGCCCACGCGAGAAACTGTGCAGCATAGCAGACCAGAAAAAAAAAAAACCCATCCTTCTCGCAACACCAACCATAAATCGCAAAATGAGCAACGACATAATCTCCAGCAAGGGCCAACATGTTTCATCACATTACTGAACGATGAAGTATATTTGACTTATGTAGCTAGTTTCTATGGATCAGGTTGACCTAAATAATTCTGACAACATGGCAACATAAATTATCTATCAGTTTGATGCTTCCATGTGCTAATCATCTATTATTAAGGCAGCAACACCCTGCATCATGAAAATAAGATTTGTTAACATGTTTTTATGACCCGAACTGAATGAAACGCTATACCCAAACATCCCTTATGCAAACTTATGTGAACCGCAACAACTGTTACTCACCTTCCTTGGCGCAATGCAAAGTCTTCCCCCATCACGTCTAATGCACCCCCTCCTGCGCTGTGGAACAACTCCACACGACATATTGGACCAGTAGGTTCACATTTACGAGCATCTTCCTAATAATTAACCCTAAAAATTTTACAGTGACATCGTTTTACCCCTTCGGTATCAGCGCCATCCTTGATACTCCCCTGCTTAAGAAAAGACCTAAAGATTCCTAGTACTTCCATTTCAGGTAGCAACCGTGCATTTTTAGACTGTCCACGCTGGGACCTTCCTAATTCATCTCGCCGCAAGAGCAACACGCAGCTTGTCATTAGTTCCAGTTCACTCAAGGATCGTCTCTTCATCCCTTGCATAACCATGACAACAACGAAGATAGCACGCAACAACCATTGAAACTATATCAGGTGGTAATATCACTACATATTTGAGGTAGGCACACAATAATAATTAATAATTAATTGATTTATAATTTATAACCTGTAATAACACGAACAGAGTAAATCAGGCGACGGAAAAGAGAATGAAAGTGTCAATGACACTTGTAGCTCACCCACAAAAAAGGACCAAATAGTGAGTAAGAAAAGTCATTTAATATGAGGCTAACCATCCGACGTACATTACAGAAACCGATTGCCATCTTATAATCGCAATAATGAATCTATAACGCCAATTGAATACAAATTTGTGGACCTCGTAGATGGCGCTATATTCCTGCTTTGTAGGATGCGTTTGAAAATAAATATGGTATGCTGGTCCGACATTTTTTGAAACTTTACTAATATAACCATTTTATTGAAGGCGGAGAGGAAATACCAATTTGCCTTCTGGTCCAATATGTCAATGAAGAGTCTGTAACAACAACCACGACGAGTGTGACACCGACAGACTGTTTGTTCTATATACTATATAGCTACTAGTAATCTATGCTCTAACCGCTACGGCTAATTTTGCATAATTATATTTTAAAATATCAAAACGGCCCCTAGCCCTTATTCATTCACATACCAAAAATGAGCAAAATCCGTTGAACCTGAACTGACTATACGGCAATTCCCATTTTTGCCAAAAAATTGCCGTGGCTCGAAAGTACGTCGACTGGCGTGCTCCAAAATAGGACGTTTAATATGGGAGCATAGCAGTAACAACTATACCCAATTTCAAACATGTGGGCCAAACGGTTCCTGAGTTATCGTTGACCGTAGCGAAATGTTGACGGACGGACGGACGGACGGACGTACGACGGACGCCGACCCATGGCAATAGCTCAGCTTGACGATGTCAAGGTGAGCTAAAAACCACGGACTATCCTGATTACATATCATGATTGCATTGTTTTGGGGAACTCTTTAAATCGTAAACTGTTAGCCATTTTTAAGTGTTAAAGGTTTCCATGACCCTTCAATCCAAAAGTTGTGGCTAGTGTGAGAATAACCCTCTCGACACATAAATCAACTATGCCCTGCTGTCCTCGTACCTAAAAGCAGACTGCTTGGTTGCTATGTTATAGATTCACAGCTCTCCTCAACCCTTCCTTCTTAAATGGGTGTTTTTTAATAAAACATGCCACCTCTACTTTTAAAATAGTCATAATGGTCATAATTGCAGTTGTAAACAAGCATTATAGAGCCTGCTTCGCCACCTATCGAGTTTGTAAAAACTGCTCGCACACCCGACAACGATGCAACGTCTACTTAATGTGTTTAACTATTAGGCAAATGTCAAAAGCGCACTGTTTTGCAACAGTTGGCTGCCTATGCTATTACAGTATCAATGGCCATAATAGAAAATTGTCTATTATGGACTCTTGACAGTATATAATACGTCTGTATGGCAGAGAAATGCTACGGCACAGCTACGTAACGTCGTTACTGATACACAGTCTCAAAGTAAATATGGTTTATTCACTTGTCTACTACACTACTGCTATCTTTTACACAATAATTGCATAACAAACAACAATATATATACTTGTAATATTGTTTAATTATTGCATGGAAGCAAAATGATTACAAACAGAAATCTGTTGTTGTTGCTGCTGCTGCTACTGCTGCAGTTGTTGTTGTTGTTGCTGTTGCTGCTGCTGCTGCAGTTGTTGTTGTTGTTGTTGCTGCTGCTGCTGCTTTTGTTACTTAATGCCACTAGAAATGTTTTTATCAATCCGCAATGAACGGAGACGAAAAATACACAAAACGACCGGCTCTGAGTGTCAGTAGCTACAATATATACAAGTAAAGTATCAATTAGCTGCATTACACAAGCTAGAGTATTTTTTTATTGACAGCGGCTAAAGGTCATTGACATTCCTAGCAGCGCAGCACTGACACGACATTTCAGACTGATAGCTCACAGCGATCCCAATTAGGCACCGTACCACCTGCCCACAAGTCGCCATTGATGAGGCGGAAACATGCAACAGTCAGCATGGAGCAGGATTTCAAGCAGCAGTGCGTGACTAACTTATTACTAATGAATCGATCCGAAATACCTTAAGTTAAGGAGGGAATGTTCCCCCTTCTTTTACACCTCTTGACCTTTGACCTTTGACCCCCAGCTTCGACATCCCAACTCGTTTTCGCATCTTTCAGCATCGAACCATCACCTCAATTGTGTCTAGCTCCTCAGTCTCGAGCTCCTCAACGATGGCCACAGTCGTCCAGTCGGAGAACTGCCTTGAAGCGACGATGTCTGACGGGAGACTGTCGCCAAAGTACAACACCTGCAACAGCCAGCGGAGAAATGTGACATAGCACCACATACTTCTGCAACACGCAACCATAAACGCAAAATGAGAACGACATAATCTCAGCAAGGCCAACATGTTATAATTATGACGATGAGTATATTTGACATGTAGGTAGTTTCTATGGATCCACGGTTGACCTTAATAACGAAACATGCAACATAAATATCTATCAGTTGATGCTCATAGTGTAATCATTCATTTATTAGGCACAACACCCTGCATCATGAAAATAAGATTTTGTTAACATGTTTTTACGATGAATGAACGCTATACAAACACTTATGCAAATTATGTGAAGAAAATGTTACTTTCATGGGCGCATGCAAAGTTTCCAATCACGTCTAATGCACTCTGGCTGTGAAGCAATCCACACATATGTACGTAGGTACATTTACGAGATTTCTAATTAATTAACCTAAAAATGTTTTTACAGTGATGTTTTACCTTGGGATCAGCCATCCCTGACTCATGCTTAAGAAAAGACCTAAACAGATTCCAGTTTCCATTCAGGTAGCAACCGTGCATTTTTAGACTGTCCACGCTGGGACCTTCCTTTAATTCATCTGCGAAGTGAAACGCAGTTGTCAATTAGTTCAGTTATAGATGTCCATCTTGCATAACATTTTGAAACAGAAGATACAGAACAAATTGAATTATCAGGGAAATACCACAATTTAGGTAGCACACCCAATATAATTTAATAATTAATTATTTATAATTTATAACCTGTATAATCACGAACAGAGTAAATCAGGCGACAGGGAAAAAGAATGAAAGTGTCAATGACACTGTAGCTCACCACAAAAAAGGACACAAATGAGTGAGTAAGAAGAAGTCAGTTTTAATTGAGCAACCATCGACGTACATTATAGAAACGATTGCCATCTGTATATTGCAATAATAATTTATAAACCAAAATGAGTTCAGGTTCAACGGATTTTGCTCATTTTTGGTATGTGAATGAATAACGGCTAGGGGTTTTGATATTTAAAAAAAATTATGCAAATTAGGTAGGGTTTGGCAATTATATAGCATATATAGACACAAACAGTCTGTGGTGTCACACTCGTCTGGTTCGTTTTACAAGATTTCATTGACAATATCTTTAATGCAAAATTGGTATTTCCTCTCCACCCTGCCAATAAAATGTCTATATTAGAGTAAAGTTTTACAAAACATGTCGGAACGCAGCATTACATATTTATTTCAAACGCCATTGCTACAAAACAGGTATAGCGCCATCTACGGTCACAAATTGTGATTCGTCCTATTTTGAAGCACGCCAGTCGACGTACTTTCGAGCCACGGCAATTTTTTGGCAAAAATGGGAATTGCCATTAGTCTTTAATATGGGAGCATAGCAGTAACAACTATACCCAATTTCAAACATGTGGGCCAAACGGTTCCTGAGTTATTGTTGACCGAAGCGAAATGTTGACGGACGGACGGACGGACGGACGTACGACGACCCATGGCAATAGCTCAGCTTGACGATGTCAAGGTGAGCTAAAAATGATTGGTAAAAACATGAGAAAGCCTTCTGCGTCATTTTTTGAAACCATTTTCACCTAATGAACAAGAAGATAAAAAAAACGAACAGAACGAACAAACAAAACAGAAACATAAATAGTGAATTAGTAATATGTGTCATATGTGGCCCCAATACAAATAAATAAAGTCGATAAATAAATAAATAGATATATTTTAACAGTACAAAGATGTATACATTTAGAATTACTGTGATGGGATTCACAAAACAGCAAGAAATTAAGGCGCGTAAATTTGACATCTAAGGCATGTTACTGTTAGGATTTATGAATGTCACATATGATATTACCTTCCACTTTCAAGTCATGTTGGACTAGACATGAATTAAAACCCTAGACCTGTAGAATTTGAATTGTATCTATCCATGCATTAAGTTGATTAACCCATCCCATCCCATCCTATCTCATCTCATCCCATACCATCCATCCATCCATGCATCTATCTAAGTTCTAACCCTAATCGAATCTACCTAGCTAGCTAGCTAGCTAGCTACCCAGGTTTCTCCCTGGGCTTTTAACACGTCGGGTCTGAGCGTTTACTTTTGATAATCCTAATGCAGTCACGCTGTGTTTTGAGCTTGATGGATATATGTTTCTGAACTGATTGGGGGCCACTTAGAACATGCATAAATGCCTCCAATTAGCAATCGCGTAACTGACTACAATTAGCAACCAGGGGCAGATTGCCCGTTGCCTAACATGCCTTCTAAAAATTCCAGGGAAGAAACTCTACAACCTTCCTACCTATATGCATATATATATACTAGGGCTGTAACGATACACAAGCCTCTCGATTCGATCCGTATCTCGATATTAGCCTCTCGATTCGATTCCTTCGATTCGATTCCCAAAATATTGAAATGTTATCTTATTTTTTATATTTTCATTATTTTGCAATAAAAACTCCTAACCAACTATTACATTCTTTCTTTTTTCTCAATTTTATTTAACAAAATAACTTTAAGCGCATAATTAAAATTAAAAAACGAGCAGTCACGTCTAACTGCAGCCCTGTAAACATATTAGCAATGTGCTGTAGCCGCTGATTAGCTGACTGGCAAGTCAGGACTATTGACCAATCAGAGCGGGCGTCTCATACACACCTCGGTATGAGACGTGTATGAGACGCCCCCTATGAAAGTTGAACACACACACTCCATCTTACCTTACCTCACCTCACACGCACACACTCGTTCACCTCATCTTGAGTTTGTGGCTTGTATTTATTACTGGATATGGCATCGACTGCTTAATATAATAATTAATAATTATTTCGAGTCTCCTCCGGAAGTTGTTATTATTCCTTTCTGTAGTTCATACCAGACAGGGGTCGCCACTCCTCTCTGTCTGCCAACAGCGCTATATAGCTATAGCGAATGGCACTGAATGTCACTGAGGGTGGTCACAGCCAGAGTTTGTTTTTGCGGCCTCAGTGGTTCTTTTACGTCCCCATTGGCCTTTCGTATTACTGGAGACGAGACCGCCATTTTACGTGGTCATCCGAGCCACGGGAGATTCACAGTCTCCAATGTTGAGAGCCAGGGGCCGGTTTCACGAAGCGTGATTAACTTTAATTATGATTAAATCACTACTCTACTTAACCTCCTGTAATTATGATTAGTTAATCATACTTAAAAATCTGGGCCGATTTCACGAAGCGTGATTAACTTTAATTATGATTAAATCACTAATATCATACTTAACCTCCTGTAATTATGATTAGTTTAACATACTTAAAAATCTGTTTCACAAAGCGATTTTAAGTACATATTTAAACTAATCAGCATAATTTAGCAGTACTTAGACATTGAATTACACTGGTATTTCAAAATGGGCGCGACAACGCAAAGTATTTGCAAATTCGGTACATGAAAAGGAATAAGTTTGCAATTATGACTATAATTAGTACAGCTAATCTTGACGATAATTTAAATTTCCTTGGAAAAATTGAAGTAAATAATTTCCAATTTGTAAATATCTGCAGCGTACTATACTTATAGCTCATATTATTACTAGTACACCTACATATACTTCCTTAGTACTTAGCAACTAATTATGATTAGATGGGATTTAATCATGCTCCTGAGTTTAGAGATTGATGAGGAAGTAGATTGTTGGATTCTCGTGGGAGTGAGTGAGGTTCGGCTCCGAGGGGGTTTGGAGGACGGAACAGAGACATTAGGTGGGTTGATTATATAGAACGAAGAGTAGAGAGCCACTGTTGTTGTGCAGGAGGAAGAGAACGCGGAGAATGTGCGAAGTGCGTTATGGCGATGCAGTATTGTGTATTGGAAGGTCGTGTATAGAAATGCAGAGTGCGAGGAGGGCCGAGAGGGGGGGGGGATGGGAGAGGGGAAGGGCGAGTGCTCCAATGTGAATGCTTGGCTTTGCACATGCGCTAGCCCCTACCTCACACATTCCGTACATCACGGGGAGGAGGATCTGCGCGAAATTCTTTGAATCGCGCTTTTCACCTTGCTCTATATATTAGTGCAAGCGTGCACAGTCGCCGCCACACGAGAGCAAATTTGGCTGCCGTCGGGAGAGGGAGATGGTGAGAGGGCAGAGGAGACGGGAGGAGGATATATGCAGATGAGTCTAGGAAAACTATCTCAGTGGGACATGCTGGGATAATAGAGTGTAAGAGAGTATAGACACCTTGCGCGAAGCCCTATAGACCCTCACCACTATAGTCAACATTATAGAATTTATCACGGGACGTTGTACTGAGTAGAATGACGGGAATTTGAGCGGTATTTACGGTTAGCATGATAGTAGATTTTAATTGGAAGCGCTTCAAGTAGCACCGGCTGTATAATGTAAGCGCCGTGTTAAAGTCGATATGGAATTGGTGTATGCTACACTAGTGAGTAGTGGAGGTCAGGGAGAGCGCGCCCCGGGAGCAGAGGAGAGAAGGACGAGGAGAGGGAGGGAGAGGGAGAAGCGGCGACGCGTGACCCCAGTGAAGTTGGCGAGAGGTGGTGCGAGGAGAGGGATGAGGGAGATGGGAGAGGGAGAGGGAGACGGTCGAGATGGGTATGAGGGAGCCGGGGGTGAGGGAGCGAGGGCCGGGGAGAGCGGAGAGGGAAGACGAGGGAGAGGAGAGGGGAGGAGGAGATGGGAGGGGAGTGGTCTGTCGGATGGGGGGCCGCGGGAGGTCTATCTCGCAGAGGAATTAGACGGGAAAGACCCACGCTCCAGTCTTTCGCAGGGTGTGAATGCTTGGCGGCATTTATGAAGTAATACTTATTACCGCTGACATTGCGCCGAATATAGACTACCACATCTCACCCTTCAACACATTGCGTGGGATAACTTTATCTTTAAATCTAGAGACTTCAATCATTTATCTGACCGCGAGGATGGGGAGGGAGAGGAGTGACCAGCTATGATGAGGAGTGATTTGGCGTGAGGGGGGATGAGGGACCGAGGGGCCACAAGCATAGAAGTATTTAGTGCAGAGGGAGAGGGAGGAGTTGGTGACCTGAAGACTGGGATAGAAAAGAGTAAACGTATCCGAGAGAAAGATGATGGCGGTAGTGATTGCGATTCACATTGTCAACCAGATGAGGGAGTACGGGACTTCCGGGTGAGTAGGGCATTGCAAGGCGTAGAGTTGCAGCGGTAATTCCGGGCGCGTCGATAGAGTACCGCAGGAGCCATGCTACATTAGTATGATCCTTCTTGCTGAATGATTTGTGTGATCTCCGAGTGCTACTATTGTGGACGACCGTAGAAGCCGCCTCATACGTCGGACAACATTCCGGTTGAATTTAACACATTACTGACGCGGGGAGGAGGGAGTCGCATCAAAAAAGAAATCGGGAGGGTCTAATTATGCGCCAAAAATATGAAGTTTACTCTGACATAGGATGAATCTATTGCATAAAAACAAGTTTCTTGAAACGGAGAAATAAAGTGTAGGTCGCAAAAGAGAGTCGGGCAGACGATTATTTTGACAGACGAGGCTAGCGAGCTGCGGGGTACTTGATACTTTTTTGGGGGGTCGAGAGTAT